ATCCTTAGTGAGACGAATGAGTGACCCTGAGAACACAATCCAAGTCTAAGAACATCGGTGCGGCCCCTATGACTATGGATCCACAGACCCTTTGAGCAGGTGACTGGAGACTCTTTGATGACTCTTTGATACTATAATTTATATAGGCCAAGCGAGGGTTGAAGTACCTTTTGAGAAAGCTTTCTTCCCTGCAACATGTCCCTGGAACATCTCGGTTAGCGCTCGTCAGTCCCCCCTCGCAGGCAGAAACTTCTCGCAGGACCTCCCTTCGATAGGCGGACCAGAAAGCTTGAAGAACAGCCCAGTGGGCGGCTGACATGTTTTGACATGTTGACTGTTGATGAAGGAAAAAATAATAGATGGAGTCAGATGGAGATGTAAAACCATTCTGTCAGGGGGGATATGTATCCACCGTCCTCGTCATCGGCATATCGGTAGTTGTTTGCGCACATCATCATTCATCCTTTATGTGTCGTGATCGTGATCACCACCACCACCAACGAACAACAACAATCATCATCATCATCATCATCATCCTCGGCGGCGGCGGCGGCATAATCACATTCGAAATGCTCTTGCTTTGTACTCGTACCACAATGTCCACAATGTGCATATACAGGTTCATGTGGAAATTAACAGGTTGACGGCGTCAGACATGGAGAGCGTTGCCTTGCACTCCCTATTAGTACGGATCATGAGCACATTTGCGTCCTCCATTCGGAGGCTTCATGTTACATACATGTTTTTGCCCACCGTTCACCAATTACGGTTCTATAAAACTGCAAGGAAAGCACTCTTTGATGTTCTCTATACATGCCTCAAGTGCTACATTGCCAGCTTCCACTTGAAGATGCTGTACAAAATGAGGTGTCCCAGGTCACCCTGCAGCCTCAAGTTTGGGGGGTGGTTTGCCATGCAGGCTCTGCGCAGCATGCTTTTGGCAATTGCCGGCCCTGCTTATGGTTTCACAAGTCGACAGGCTGCAGCAGCTTGGATCGCAATGGAACGGCCTGGGTACGACACAAGAAGGCCCGAATATATATATATATATACATACATTCACAGGTCGGTCTAGTTGTGTGTGTGGGCGTTTTCTCCCCAATTGGCCCAATGGGTTTGGAGTATGGTATGTTTTGTTTAGGTGATACCTCTGCAACGTATTCATTGAAACTTCATGTACAGATTCCAGCCGGCGAAGCTCTACAACATTCTACTACGAATAATATCGAATAATTACATCAAGCACACTGAGCTCCAATCCACACAGCTGAAAGTAATGCTGCACGACCACGTTGTTGCAGCTTGGAGCCGTGTTCCAACTCAATCCAGCACCATTGAGAGGGTAATTGAGAGGGTATGTTCCAAGTCGGTGTCCCATTTAATCATGTGTTCCCATTTTGGCTGATGATATCTCCTTCCTCTCCTCTTTCAGGCTTTCAGGCTGGACCTCAGCTTCAAATTGATTGCAAACTACAATATATGATAAAATATGGAATTGCCTCAACCAGCGGCCTAGGGCCGCGTGACCTCCAAGCCCTGCGTCCTGCTTTCGAAGTCCATCCTTCGCTTCTTAAGAGTCATCCACTTGCGACCAGAACGGTATGTGACAAAAAGGCATGTGACAAACCACCAGTGAAGACCTCTTCGTTGATCAGTGAAAGACTCATATTTGTCCTTCAAATTCCGTTCTGAACGGTCGGCGATGAAGGAATTTACGTCGGTTTGCTGCTAGGAAATGCTCGAGACTGCAGCCATTGTCACTTGTGCCCAGCGGCCTTTCAGCCGCAGCGGGGCAGGTGCCCCGCGAGAGGAGGTGGCAGATCTTGGTGACCGATCAGAAAATGGGAGGAGAATCCTTAATGTAGCCTGTTGAGGAGAATCCTTCAACCTCCGAGGTTACTCAATCCAAATGGGTGGGGTGTCCTTCATCAACAGTCTATACTTTAGAGTTTCTTTGTGAGGGAGCGTTCAATTCGGTGTTTGAACTGAAACCACCGAAACCGGACTTCTCCACGAACGGTGCGTCGTTCGTTCGTTTACCCAACTCGCCCAACAGAGCCGTCACGTGGTTCACGGGTGTCTCACGTGGTGGGCGCCATACGTGGGCGTTTGACACAGATGGGTTAGAGGACCTTTCAGCACCCATGGAGCTTAGCTCAAGTCGATTGAGAGTTTCAGGGTGACACATGAGACAGCATGAGACATCACTGAATCACGGGCTGGGGGAACTTGGAGGGATGTAGTCTACAAATATCAAATATCCAGGAGGTGAATCCTAGTACATGTCTGAAATCGTGTCCGAGCTTGAACTAGCTCGGACAGATGTTGGACGAAGGTGCAGTCATGCAGTCCTGCGGTCCGTCCTGTTCGGGAAGTCCCCATACCAGGGGTTCGGACCGCATTGGTTTGGGCGTCAAGTTTGGTCGACTCAACCAAGGATCGAAAGAACAGCGACCGAAGGAGGAAGGGCAAGGGCAAAGGCGAGACGGAAGGAAGAGGTGAGAAGAGCGACAAGGGCGAGAAGGGCAGGACTGCAGCGAGGGTTGGGCGACTCTGTTGCAACAGCCACGGTGCTCTTTTTCCGGTGCGCCTGGAGAATTTCATAGATCTTGATCTTGCACTTGTTTGGACAAAACTCACATCCCATTCAGCAGATGTTTGACAGTGACAGGGCACTGATTCTTCGGTATGTGTGGTGTCAGTGTTGCACTTGATGTGCTTGGCCGCCTGCCACCTATGATTGATTGGTGTATGTATTTCACAGTGGTTGCTCTCGGATTGGTGGACTCACATCAGTCGAAATCCTGAGACTAATAGATTTGC